TTCTAAGATTCCTCCCACCGTCCCATCAGTTGTGCTAATGACTTATCCTCTCAAAGTTTTTAAGATCTGTTCCCTCCTTTAATGCTATTTGGAGTTACTCGGACCTAAGTGAAAGCACACGTTTTGGAGTAAGATGCGCTTAGTGCTAATCTGCTACTTTTTACCTGTGTGGCCTTAAGCAAGTTCAGTATGTTTAGAAGCCCCCTCCCTCCCACCCCTGTTTCCTCTTTATAAAGGAGATCCACCACCCACCTTCTGAACAGTTGTTGGCAGGATTACTCCTGTTAGGAAAGGGCTTGACATGGCAGGGATGATCGTTTTCTTCTTTACTCCTTGTCTGTAACCCCTGCAGCACGCTCCTGTCCGCCACCCCCCCCCCCCCCCCCCTCCCCCCCCCCCCCCCCCCCCGCTTCTGCACGGCTGCCACCAGTGCTGCGGCACACAGGAGGTGGTCCTGGACCCTTTACCTTGGCCTCCCGCGGGCCTCTCTTCAACACCTGCTCACTCACACCTGTGCTTCATCTACCTCAGGACACTCGTCTTTTCCTCAATATACTGTTTTCTGACTCCTGGTCTCTGCTGAAGCCATTTCATTTGTCTATGGAGCCTTTCCCGCCACCTCCACCCATAGAAATTCTGCCCACTCATCAGCACCAGTCAAATGCCCCCTCCCCCTTCTGTACCCACGGTGTCTTACTCTCTAATATTTACTCAGCATCATGCCCTGAATGACAATTAGCTGTGGGCCTTGCCTTCCCTGTTGGACTGCAAACTTGCAGCAGTTTGGATTTATCTTTGGGTTACTTGTTGCTCAGTTGAACTACACTGAATAGAGTCCCTCCCAGATCCTTTTCCCAACTTAACTCAAACCGGCCCCAAGCTCAATCCCTCAACTGACCCTCTTTGATCTCACTAGACTTGTTCCCTAATCCTGTTTTCCTAACTGAACCCCAATGCATCATCCTTCACTGAGAATTGATTCCTCATTCCAGCTCTCGAGAGCAGATACACACATTCACACCTCCCCAGGGTTTCATGGTAGGCACTGAGTCATCCCTTGGGGATCCCTGGGCCCCCCTCCCTGCCCCCACCATGGTGGACAGGATGCCTGCTGCCTGGCCCCGGGGGGTCAGAGGAAGCCAGGGCCTCTAGGGCTCAGTATTTTTATCAGCCTAGGAAACAAGACACACAGAAGCGGAAACCCTGTGGTCAGAGAAAGTGAACAGCCCTCACTCAGGGGAACCCCCAACAGGGCTGGGGGCCAGACACACCAGGCAGGGATGTTGAAAAGAGGGAGGCTTGGGGGCCAGGGATCAGGGCTTATTTTGCTTTGGTTTTATGTAACTCTTGCAGAGGGGAAATGATGTGCTTCAAAACCAGAGAAAACTGCTGGATGGAGGAGCAAATCTGGGTGCCAAAGGTTTCTGTTGCTTACCTCTCAACCCCCAGCTTAGGGATCCTAACCCCAGCTCCCCCTAACTCCACAGCTGGGCTCTTTGCATGCCACTTCCGAAACCTCCGGCCTGTGAGAGGAACCGGACGCCTGGGCTGCTCACAGCTCGCAGACTCTTCTCTGAATCACAGCAGCTTCCTCTCACAGATCTTTCTCACCAGCCCTTCCTCCTCCAGACCCTGACAGCTGCCTGCTCCCTGGGAGGCCTCGGGGCTCTTGGCTGTCTTCTCCCAGGGTCTCATGCCTGCCCCGTGTTCCCCTGCTCCCGCGGGCTTCCCTCCCTCTCCTCTACCGCCCTCAGGATTCTCTTGAGTAGACCAGGGCTCCAACCCTAAAAAATTCGTTTCTGATTCTTAATATTCTCTGATGTAGACGCGTGCAGACCGCACACGCCAGCACATGCCTGTAACTCTTTGCTTTTTGCGGAGTTCCCTGTTGTGTCCTGGGGGACGGCAGTGGGGTTTGGTACTGTCTACAACTTCCTCTCCTGGTTCTGGGGAGCTCGAGTGGAGCTCGAGTATGGAAGAGTGAAAGGGATGGCACCAGACCCTCTCCCTCCGCCCCTCAGGACCTCTTCCTCAACTTCAGGAAAAGATGCCTCTCTGGAAGGCTAGACTGCCCAGAGAGGAAGCCCAGGTGTGGGATGGGGGCAGAAGCTGGCCAGGACTGCGGCCCTGGAGGAGAAGACATAGGACTGAGGAGCTAGCGGGGAGATAGCCTTGGGTGTGGATCCCTGGTTGCCCAAGAACAGATAACCCAGGTTACATAATTTGGCTCTTTCCACCTCCTTCCCCGGCTCCTAATTTTAGCAACCAAAATTCCACTCCCCCACAGGGCTCTTCCTCTGTCCATTCTGCTTCTATCCCATCCTCCCACAACCTCCTCATGGCCCCCAGCTCCAGCTGCCCCCAACTCAGATCATTCAGTGACTCAGCAAAGGGAAAGCCCTGTGTTGGGGGAGGGAGTGTTAAGTGGGGAGGAGGATGTGGTTCTAGCTGGGGAACTGGGGAGAGGAGGGAAACTGGTTTTGTTCCCTTTTTCGTCTCTGTTCACGTCTATTTCTCCAGTCACTGACAGCACAGTGGAGGAGCCCGGCGCAGGGAGTGGAGACTGGTGGGCAAACTGGGTCTTCTTAGGGCTGCCTTTGCGGGTGGGCAAGCAGGGCCTTCTTGGCTCCAGCTGAGAGCCCAACTCGGTGTGTGCGTGCGTGTTGCAGGTGTGTAGGAGCTGCGGATTTTGGCGGGCGGGGTGAGAAAGGAGAGGTCATGTATGATGAAAACCACAGCAATGGAAAAAGGCAGAGGAGACACCGGGAGTGAGATGTGGAACCAGGTCTTATTAGGAACTGGAGGAGTCAAGGAGCAGCGGTGGTGGCCCATATCCTCCCCACTCCCACTCGTTACAAGTCTCGCTCCCACCCCATACCCTTCGCCGTGCAGCATCAGCCTCTTCCTCGTCATCCCCATCCCTGACCGTCCCCTTACTACTGCCCTGCCTCTAAGGCTGCATTCCCTGCAGTTTCTCACTCTTTCCCTGGGGTCACTTGAGGGCCTCCGCGTGGCGATTCAGGGCTTGAGAAAGGGCCGTCACGGCCCCCATCACGCGGCCCAGCTCCCAGGTCTCAATCTGGCTTCGGAATCGCTGCAGGAAGCGGTCAGGGTGCCAGCGGACCTGCTGGACCCTCAAGTACCTCCTCAGGGCCCCCTGTTCCTCCAACGGGGGGCCCCTGGCCACCAGGGCTGCAGCCATGGCCTCCGGGTCCCCCCCCCCCAGGGCAGGGCCAGGGCACATCACCAAAGCGCCAGAGGCTGCCCCTCCCTGCTCCTCTTGGGGGCTCCGCCCTGGGCCCAGCCCTGGCTGGCTCTGGCCCTCGGTCCCCACGGGCCTCCTGCGCCCGCCTGGCCCGGCCTTCTCGCAGCTCCTCCTCCTTGGCCCGGGCCCGCTCTCGGAAGCGCCGCTGCTCCTCCTCCTCCTGCCGCGGCCAGCTGTGACTGGGACCCGCAGCCCGGGCCGGTCGGCAGGCTCCCTCTGCCCCGCACTGCTGCTGCCGCCGCCGCCTCTGGGCGCCCTCCCGGGCCAGGCGGTCTGACCAGGCTGAGAAGGACTCGGGCTCCTGGGCCTCATGGGAAGCGTCATCTGCTTGGGAGGGCAGGATGGGGGTGGCCGGGGAAATGCTGGGAGGAGGGGACAGGCAAGAGGGGAGGGCGGTATAGAGGATGGGGGTACAGGAGGCCGGCGGGAGCACTCGTGCGGCGGGCACCGGAAAAGCGGTCAAGGGGAAGAAGGGCAGCTATGCATGGGAATCGATTCCTCACCTTCAAACCTCCCGATGACCTCCTGCCACTCATCCTCCAGCTCTCCCTGCAGCTTCTGCCTCCATTCCCGCTCCTTAGAGGCCTCGTCCTCCTCCTCCTCTTCAGCAGAATCCCAGGGGGGGCCCCAGCCCAGAATCTGCCCCGGGGTCTCCCCGTCCTTATTCTTTATTCCCATAGCAGAAGGGCAGCGACTCAGCAGCGGCAGGAAGAAGTCCGTGTAGGCTGTCGGGAGGGCAGGAAGCAGGAATTAGCTGGGACCCCCCACTCCTTGGCACAGCCGCCATCCTGAGTCCTGCTGGTCACTCACTCCCTTGGTCTTAGAGCAACGGAAAGGGCTGCCCACATGGAAGCCTCCTGGGTATTAGGAAATCACGGTCACTGACAAATATTTACTGATAGTTTACCACATGCGTGAGAGGCGTGGTAGTTTAAAATATTGTGATCTGGGGGCGCCTGGGTGGCTCAGTCATTAGGCGTCTGCCCTCGGCCCAGGTCATGATCCCGGGGTGCTGGGACCGAGCCCCGCGTCGGGCTCCTTGCTCTGCAGAGAGCCTGCGTCTCCCTCTCCCACTCCCCCTGCTTGTGTTCCCTCTCTCGCTGTGTCTCTCTCTGTGTCCAATAAATAAATATTAAAAAATAAATAAAAATAAAATATTCTGATCTGTGTCCCCACAAACTATTTTAGTATCCTAGGAGTTCTACTATGTTAAATGACATTTCCCAGCCTGCCTCCAGCCACCCTGGGCAATGTCACAAACCTCTAACCACGAATTTCATTTTTGGTTTGAAAATAGTGTCGCTTTATAACTCTTAACTGTGTTTCCGACCCAAAGCTATACTTCAGACTGGTAAAATATCTGAACGTTTTACTCTGCACCGTTGTAAATGTGCAAATAAATAACGGGAAGCTTTTCACATCGCTTTTCAATAAACTGAGTAAAATATTTTCAGGGAGGGGACTTTCTCTCAGCCAACCTCATACAGGGCATACTGCGAGGGGGTGGGGAGGTACAGGGTCCAGACCAGCAATGAGTTTTAAGCCATGGAAATGTTCCCAGCAGCGAAGCAAGCTCCTTCCAAACTGACTACTGACCTAGGGCAGGAGAAAGGGGCTGAGATCGAGGGTCCCACCCAGGTACTGGCTAACAGGAGGCTGGGAGTAAACAGAAGAGGGACTGATGTTCCCGAACTCTCCCTCCTCCTGAGCCCTGACCTTACTGCATCCGCTCTAGCGTCAGCTGCAGGCCATGCTGACCACTTTACTGCCAACCCAGCACTCTACTCCTGACCAAGCCCACCCACTGCGGCCACCAAGCACCTCTTCCACTCCCAGGACAGAGGAAGGTGAGTGAGGCACCCTCCCTTCCTGTGCACCTACTTTCTCTTCCTAGGGCAGGGGGAAATGGGCCGCCAGTTGTTAAATCTTTACTTTGTGGTGCTGCCAAGTACTGGCCACCTGGCAAAAGGATGGGACAGGGAAGGGTTCTCCTGTCACTACCAGGAAGGTAGGAAGACACAATGGGCCCGCCTTGGCTGGCCGAGGCCCATCGCCCTCACCCATCATCTCTTGGTAGACTTGACTGCTGCCCGGCTCAAACCACGTCAGGATGAGAGGAAGAGAGGACACTTCTCTTTGCCACTGACGTGACCTGTCACAACCCTCCCCACCTGTCCCACCCAGCAAATACCCAGTCCTGTCTTTCAACTGCTTATTCCCCACCATGGTTCACAGCAGGTACGAGGGTGGGTGGGTGTTCAGGCTTGCATAGGAGGTTTTTAAACTCATGGGCTTTAAACATGGTAAGTAAAATATGGTACAGAAGATTCAAAAGCCACTAAAAATGATGTTTGTGTGTGAAAAAGCTGGCTACGAAACTATACATAGGATCCAATCACAACCGTGTAAAAGAAGAGGCCAAATCCTAGTTGAAAAAAAACAGACTAGAAGGAAATATGTAAAAATCCTAGTCTCTGAGTGGTAGGACTATGGGTGGCTGTCCTCCAATCTTATGTGGTTAATATTTTATTTTTTTAAGATATTATTTATTTATTTGAGAGAAAGAGAGAGAGAGACAGCGAGAGGGAACACAAGCAGGGGGAGTGCGGAGCAGGGAGCCCAATGCGGGGCTCGATCCCAGGACCCTGGGATCACGAGCTGAGCCGAAGACAGATGCTTAATGACTGAGCCACCCAGGCGCCCCTGGTTAATATTTTAATGTGAAAGGGATATAACTAATGTGAAACATTTTTTTCCTTTTTAAAGAGCGAAGAATACATTTAATCACTGTTAAGTTTGCTGTGGTATCTTCCAGTCCTGTCTGGGTGTATAAATGCACACACAGGATGGCTTTCTTCCGAGATATGGAGTCACGCTCTATGTTTTGTTTGGCAACTTGTTTTCACCTAACGGCTCATTTGTACTTTCCCACAGGAGCGTACACAGTCCCCCTCATTCTTTTTTATGACTGTGTAGTGTTCCACCATGTGTATGAAACAAACATCTCCCCACGCCCAGTCAGCAGACTTTGTTTCCAAAAATGTTCGGCCTCCTACATATGTCTTTGTAGACTCCTTACAGTGTTTCTGTGGGGTAGACTCTCAGAAGTGGAATTTCTGAGTCAAACAACATGTGCGATTTTACCAAACCGCTCTCAAATTTGTGCCAACATATACTCCTACGGAGAATATAAGAGCGCCTGTGTCGTCCTTTACCAAGATTATCACCAACCAACCCTTTTAATTTTGCTCATCTAATGATGAAAAAAATCATTTTATTAATGAAATTTTCTTTGTTTTATATGTTTTTTGGCTTTTTCTTTTTTCTTCTTCTTTTTTTAAGTAATCTCTACTCACGACCCTGAGATCAAGAGTCACAGGCTCTGCTGACTGAGCCAGCCAGGTGCCCCTGGCTCTTTATTTCTTTTGTGAATGACCTGTTCATATTCTCTGTCTACTTTTCTCCTAGAAATTATATGTGTAGACATGATAACTCTTTATATGTTATAGATATCAACCTCTTGTGTCAAGTATTTGTAAATATTTTCTCCCATCTTTAAAAAGTTTTTATGTAGTTAAATCCATATCAATATTTTCTTTTATAGCTTTTGGCTTTACTTCATCCTTAGAAAGGCTTTCTCCACTCTAAGATTATAAAAATATCCTCTTGTGTTTTTTTCTACTATTTTTTTTATTTATCTAAAAAAAGGTATGGGTGCCCGGTAGCTCAGTCGGTTAAGCGTCTGCCTTCGGCCTGGGTCATGATCTTGGGGTCCTGGAATCGAGCCCCGCATTGGGCTCCCTGCTCAGTGGGAAGCCTGCTTCTCCCTCTGTCTGCCACTTCCCCTGCTTGTGCTCTCTCTCTCTCTCAGATAAATAAATAAAATCTTTAAAAAAATGTAAAAAGTATAGTACAATAAGCACCCCTATTCCTCCCACAAGGTATGTTACTATTCCGTAATTTCTGCAACATTATTTTGTCTTAAAGAAATAAACTATCATAGATAAAGCTAAAGCTTTCTCTGATGTTGCCTTCCAAATTTTATTCCCCTCCTCAGAGAAAACTCCTCCCATGAATTTGGTACGCACCCTTCCTGTCATATTTAGGTTTTAAGCAGCTGTAATTTACTTTTTTTTTTTTTAAGATTTATTTATTTGACAGAGAGAGACACAGCGAGAGAGGGACCACAAGCAGGGTGAGTGGGAAAGGGAAAAGCAGGCTTCCTGCGGAGTGGGGAGCCTGATGTGGGGCTCGATCCCAGGACCCTGGGATCATGATCTGAGCCGAAGGCAGACACTTAACGACTGAGCCACCCAGGCGCCCCTGTAATTTATTTTTGAGTCAGGTGTGAGATAGGACTCTTCCCCAGATGAACCAAATGCTTCAATGTTGTTTATTAAAATATCTCACTGCCCTCCAGTGATTTGAAATGCCACCTTCATCATCAATTTAGCAGTACAGATCAACTTCCCAGTGTTCTTTAATTAGTACGTTGTGCTTTTATAGTATTAGGAAAAATCTGTATTAAAAAAAAACTTAAAGTAAACACGTACTTTGTCTTAGTGACAGAAGCACTGGTCTTCCCTTCTCCATAATGAGACGTGATTTCTACCTTAAAGGGATGTTCATATTAACTGGCACAACACATTTTTTAAAAACACCAATATTGGGAAGCTTATATTGAGTGACGATTGACTGAGGCATGGAGGAAGAAAAGGTAAAGTGGGAGGGGGGTCAGAGAGGGCTTCAAGGAGGAGGTGGGCTTATGTTGGGCTGGGAAGGGAGGATAACTTAGCTAAGTGAAAATCAGGTGGATGGGAAGGCAATAGGTAGAGGCAGTCTTGTGAAAAACATGTTTGGGGTCACTGAAGACAGAGCTACGTAGCTGGAACTGCAGGTCTGTGGTTGTGCTATGGTAGGAAAGGCTGGAAAGGCAAATGGAACGTAAATCAGACAGCACAGCTACGTGCCCAACAGGGCCACGGCTTCCTCCTGCTGTGCAGTCTAAGTGAGCAGTGGATGGTAGATGTCTGATACTGTGCTGGCACTGAGCAGAAGTGCAGTGAATGTTACATAAGAAAACAAAACAAAACAAAACAAAATACCGGGCTGGCTTTGGACTTTTTTCTTTTTGTAAAGACTGTGAGAAAATGATCTGTTGTTTCTTAGTGTTCACTAATTCTTGTGTGTAGAGAATAGTTATCGTCTGACTAAGGGATGTTCATGACACACCTTTGACAGCTAAGACCACTTCCCCATGAGGGGATAGGTCCCAAAAGGAAGTTACCAAAAGCCATTCATTGGCATCTCATTGGTAGTGACCACAAAGCCCAGTCAATCCAGCATGAACTGCCTCACCCCTCGCACCTAACTTGGGAATGGGGGAACACCTCCCCTTCCTTAGGGGATCCTGGGTCATTTCATGTGTTCAAAGAACATATTTGCATTTTAAGACCTAATGGTCTCGGGGCGCCTGGGTGGCTCATTTGGTTAAGCGACTGCCTTCGGCTCAGGTCATGATCCTGGAGTCCGGGGATCGAGTCCCACATCGGGCTCCCTGCTCAGCGGGGAGTCTGCTTTTCCCTCTGACCCTCTTCCCTCTCGTGCTCTCTATCTCTCATTCTCTCTCTCAAATAAATAAATAAAATCTAAAAAAAAAAAAAAAAAGACCTAATGGTCTCTAAAGCAGCTCAAAGCTGAATGAGATGGGCCATTCTACCGAAGAGCCAGATGGCCACCTGGTGGCAGGGCTGTCAGGGGAACAGGAGGAAGTAAGGCCTGAGAAGATGTATAACAGGACTTGGGAGGGACCCGAGGGCAGGTCCCCCTTAGGAAGACAACAACCTGTTGGCTAGGTGATTTCAGGCAGTTCCTGAACCTTCTGGACCCTAATTTCCTCATCTGTAATAGGATAACAGTATCGATCTCATATGCTTCTTAGATGTCAATATAATAAAGGAAGGTCCTATGCGAGAGATTTTTATTACTCAAAAAGCCGTAATTGGGTAATGTAAGAATAAAAAGAGCAATACTTTTCATCTGGTAGGTGCCAAACCTATACCAAGTGCTTGCCTCATTTACTTGTCACAACTTCCATTTTAGAGAGGCGAGTTAAAAAACAAAAAATAATAATTAAAAAAAGAGAGGCAGGGGCTCCTGGGTGGCTCAGTCGTTAAGCATCTGCCTTCGGCTCAGGTCATGATCCCAGGGTCCTAGGATCAAGCCCCGCATCGGGCTCCCAGCTCGGCAGGAAGCCTGCTTCTCCCTCTCCCACTCCCCCTGCTTGTGTTCCCTCTCTCACTGTGTCTCTCTGTCAAATAAATAAATAAAATCTTAAAAAAAAAAAAAAAGAGAGAGGCAAATTAGGCTCATGGAAGTTAAGTTGCATGTCCCTGGTACACAGCCTGTAGGTGGTAGAATTTGAACTTGGAGGAGGTCTGAGATCTGACACAGGGTTCTCTGTTCTCTTGCCATGTGTAATGTCAGCTGTCAAATTGGAAGCCTACATTTTGCAAACCTCCTCTTTTTAAGTTTTTTTTTTTTTAAATCTGAATATGCCAGCCTATCTCACTATATTAAGAGGAATTAAAGAAAAGGGGAGGGCGCCTGGGTGGCTCAGTTGGTTAAAGCGACTGCCTTCGGCTCAGGTCATGATCCTGGAGTCCCCGGATCGAGTCCCACATCGGGCTCCCTGCTCAGCAGGGAGTCTGCTTCTCCCTCTGACCCTCTTCCCTCTCGTGCTCTCTGTCTCTCTCATTCTCTGTCTCTCGGATAAATAAATAAAATCTTTAAAAAAAAAAAAAAAAAGAAAAGGGGATTTTTTTTTCTCCTATACGGGGGAAGTTTTTGGGGTGAGAGGGGTTTCTGTTGGGGAGCTGGAAGATGGTGATAGCAGCAGTCAAACTGAGTTAAGGTTGTTCAACCCAACCCAGGGATTTTCCTCTAATGTTCTTACTCTAGAAGGAAAATCTCTAGCAGGGGAGAATCACTAGAGGGTTTTATTTTCCTAAGGGCTATTATCTCTACAGAGCTGCTTCCACTGTCCATAGGTCCCCATCTGAAACCTTCAGTGTCAAAGGTTTTTCAGAACTCAGATGTTTTTGGGATTTGGTAGGGCTGATCTGAAAGTACATCCACTGTATATTAAGTAGCCGGGGAGGGCCTGGGCAGCTCCAGTGACCAAACACATGAATGTTTCTGCAGAGAAATGTACGAACATTGACATCAGTAGAATAAAAACAACTCACAGATAGTCCCGCTTTAGCTCAGGTTAGGTTTTCTCACCAAACAAGTCTGGTGAAAAATGTTTGACTCTTAGTGTTTTTGAGTTGCAGAGCTGAAGGTAAGGAAGTATGGATCTGTTCATAATAGAAACACTACTGGCCAACATCTACTGTGTGCTAATCACATGCCAGGTGCTCTAATTACGTATTGTGTCAGTTGATTCTCAAAATATACGTGACAGCATGGGTGCTTTGAACATGGGTGCATCATTGTATAATTCTATAATGTACCACATAGGATAACACAGTCGTTAGGAGTACAGCGTCTAGGGGCGCCTGGGTGGCACAGTTGTTAAGCATCTGCCTTCGGCTCAGGTCATGATCCCGGGGTCCTGGGATCGAGTCCCGTATCGGGCTCCCTGCTCCACGGGAAGCCTGCTTCTCCCTCTCCCACTGCCCCTGCTTGTGTTCCCTCTCTCGCTGTCTCTCTCTCTGTCGAATAAATAAATAAAATCTTAAAAAAAAAAAAAAAAAAGAGTGCAGGTGATCGATCTAGCTAGACTGCCTGGGTTCTAATCCCTGCTCTACCACTTTGTAGCTGGGTGACTTTGGCAAGTTACTTCTCTGTGCTGTTTCCTCATCTTGAGAAATAGGGGTAATATCAGTACTTATTGTTGTGAGGATTAAATGCTGATTTGTGAGAAGTATCGGGACACAGCAAAAGGTTGTTGTTATTTAATTTTGCACGAGGGCAAACTAAGCCTCAGGAAGTTTAGTAAGTTGCCCTAGAATACACAGCTGTTAAGTGTGGTGCTGGGATTCCAACTCAGGCAATGGAATTGCGGAACCTACCCTCTATCTTACTTTTTGCACAGCAGGCAACCAGTCAAGAGACAAAGTAGCTACTAATCTAGAAAGATGTGAAATTTGAAGTTGCTGTTTTGAGAATGTTGGGTTCTTCAGACAATGGTAACTCAGTAAAGTCACAAATGATTGCCACATACCAACATGGTCAACTAATTACCTTCCCAGGCATAACTAGCTTATCTTTCAATTGTTGGCTTTCATCGCATTCCCGGTCAGTTAGTGGCTCATGACCTTGTTCCCCACCAGGGAAACTCACCATCAGGGCCCTGGCGGGCAGCAGCGTGCAGCGCCGTGTCCCCGTGGCGGTCCTGGTGGGCAGGGTCAGCCCCAAGCCGAAGCAGCAGGCACAGGGCGGGGGCATCGTGGCGGGCACAGGCCCGGTGCAGTGGTGGGGGTTGCCCAGCGTCTACATCAAGGCCTGGGTGTCGCTGGAGGAGGGCCTGGGCGCGGACCAGCCGTCCTGCAGACAAATAACGACGGAAGCGACGCTCTCGGCGTTGGCGGCGGGAAGTGGAAGCCATGGAAGTCTTGGGCTGAGGAAGTAAAAAAAGGCAGCCGTCAGGGCCCCAGCCTTGCCTGGTCCCTCCCCCACCGTCCCTGACATTCCCTCTTGTTCCTCCCTTCGGTCCCCCTTCTTACATCTTCAGCAAGAGATGAGGCCTCTCCTAACTCTCATCCCTTAGGTAGGTTTGGAAAAAATTTTTGAAGGGGGCTTGGGTCACAGATTTCTTAATGTAAAATTTGACAGAAGGATAAATAATTGCTTTGAGGCTCATTAGCCCAGATAATTGTTAATAAGAAACTTTGAAAAAAACAAAGATGATGGGGAAAATTTTTATCAACAGAAATCTGAATTTAAGTCACAGATAATTTCAAGTAATGATCTAGAAACGGAATATGAGGTACCCGGCAGACAGATGTGGAGGCTTCTCCCTCTGGGACCTGGGGGGAGGGGTTACTCATCAGACCTGCCCCCCGCCCCCCTAAGTACCCCCGGAGCCGTAGGACCGAGGCCTGTGTTTAAGACGCTCGAGGAAGGGAGGCGGGAAGGGCGGAGACACTCTAGGCTGGCGGAAATGGCGCAAGCCGAGACGCAGGTAAAGGGCGGAAATGAGCGCGTTACCGGATGTCGTCTCTCTCCGAGGGGACGGGGTGTGTGTGTTTCCTCAGTCTGGCCTCGGTGGGGAACTTGGGAACTTAGGATAAAGGGTCCGCCTGAAAGCGGAAGACTGGACGGTAAACGAGGAGAAGGAGCCGAGCACGGGAGGGTAAAAACGGCGATTTAGAGATTTATCCTCTCCTCCCCCAAACGGGAAGAGAGAGGAGATGGTTCAGAGATAGAAGATGAGAAGAGAGAGAAAACAGGGGAGATAAAGAGGATTAAAAATCATGGTGAAAATGGAAAACCAAAACTAGAACCACAACGAGGTCAAGTACAGGGCCAGATCGGGGCGCCTGGGTGGCTCAGGTCGTGATCCCAGGGTGTTGGGATCGAGCCCCGAATCAGGCTCCCCGCCCCGCGGGAAGCCTACTTCTCCCTCTCTTACTCCCTCTGCTTGTATTCCTCTCTCGCTGTGTGTCTCTCTCTCAAATAAATAAAATCTTAAAAAAAAAAACAGGGCCAGATCAAAAAAGACATGTGTGAAAGACATAAAGAAACAACTATAGGAGAAGGCAAATGAAATGGATGCAGAAATTTAGACTTGGGAAAGATGAAGAAGAGGGAGATGGAAACGGGAGGGAGAAAAAAAAAAAGGGAAGAGAAGTAGGAAGAATTTGGGGAAACCCAGCATCCTCTTTTCCCAAAACACGACACATGTTGACTTCCTTACCTTTTCAGCCCATTTTCAACCCCTCTATGCCTCCTTCTCACTCCTCTTTGCCCCTACCCCCACTCCTGGACGTTCCGACCGGGAAAACCCTGCACCTGCTGTGACGGTAGCAGGCAGCTTTGGGTATGGTCTCTGCTGCTCCCATGTGGTCCTTCTGGGTACTGCCAGTGTAGACGTGGGAGAAGAGACAAGCCATCAATGGGAGGATCAGTTTGGGGGAGACACCTCGTGCAGGAGGCTGAGCGGAAAAGGGGAGCACTAAGACCCAGGGTTGGTGGAGGATTGCAGCAAGGAGCTGGTGGAAGAGGAGAAGTAGGCGGTGTATGTGTGTGTGTGTGTGTTGGGGGTGGGGTGGGGTGGGAGCCATCTGGTACCTTGGTAGCATCTGAAAGAGCATCAGCCATAACGACAGAAATGGCCAGTCAGTCCCAGGGTATTCAGCAGCTCCTGCAAGCCGAGAAACGGGCGGCTGAGAAGGTGGCAGATGCCAGAAAGAGTGAGTCTCCTCTTCTCTCCCTTAGGAGTCTGGAAAGAAAATTGGGGTGGGGGGACAGCAAACATTCGAGTCCCTGGGAAAATCCAAGGCTGGTGGGGAGAAAGCTGGGGCCGGGATGGCTGATTAGGAGGGAAGAAATGGGTGGGTGTTAGAATCTAGCACCTGGTTGGCTGAGAGAAGGCAGAAAAACTTTCTGGAAAGGAATGACCACTACTATCACATTTTGTGAGGGGGTCTACCCCCAACCCTGTCCTTTCTTCTGCTTCCAGGAAAGGCCCGGCGTCTGAAGCAGGCAAAGGAGGAGGCACAGATGGAGGTGGAGCAGTACCGTAGAGAGCGAGAGCAAGAATTCCAGAGCAAGCAGCAGGCGGTGAGTAGTGGGAGAGTTGAGATGGGACCCCAGGGTGCAAGGTGGTGGGTGTATCTGATAAGGTGTGGACAGTGTGACTCTATAAGAAAATAAGGTGGTAAAGGGCTGAAGGGGGCCCTTAGGAGGGACCACGTTATTGATAAAGATGTGTGATAAGGAAGAGAATCTGAGAGTTTTGAAAGACTTGTACAGCTTGTGGGGGGAATTGCCACCGTCTACGTGGAGTATGATGTCATTTGGGGTGGAAGGCAGAGTTTTATGATCAGGTGTAGTGAGGTAGTGGGGATTTTACAGTCTGTTTTAGGATGAAGTTGCATGTCAAGTCTCAAAGGAAAGGGAATTGTGTTGCTTTCTTTGGTGTCTGGATATTTCCATGGGATGGGGGTGGTTTTGGCAAGGGCTTTTCTTCCTGGCCTTGCTCCAGGATCTTTCTCTCCACCTGCCCGGACCCTTCTTTCTCTGTTTCTGCTTTTGCCTTTCTCTCTTCCATCCCTTTCCCAATCCCCCCAGGCCATGGGCTCCCAGGGGAACTTGTCGGCTGAGGTGGAACAGGCTACAAGACGCCAGGTGCAGGGCATGCAGAGCTCCCAGCAGAGAAACCGAGAACGCGTCCTGGCCCAACTTCTTGGCATGGTCTGCGACGTCAGGCCCCAGGTCCACCCCAACTACCGGATTGCTGTCTAGGATCCACCGTAGGGCCTAACTGTTCCCTTCCAGTTCCCTTCCTCAAAGAAATCCCCCAATCAAAATTACCTCCCACCATCTTCGCTGCTTCTTTCCCACTTGCTCTCCATTCCCTGGAAATTCTAGGGGCAAGATCCAATAATTCTGTGAAACTTAGAAGTTCTCCTGCTCAGATCTGAATCTCCTTATTGTTCTTTAACCTTCACTGGGACCTTGTAAACTCCCAAGTCACCCCTTACGCGACCCCTCTTTGAAATTTGTAGCATGGAGAAGTAGGGATGTGAAAAAACACTTTGGCTTCAGAGCCTGGCAGGCTGAAGTCCCTTTCCCAACCCTGCCACTTGCTGGGACAGGACAAGGTACTTAACCCCTAGTCCAGTGTCCTCCTCTACAGGACTAAAATGATGATGATGATGATGATGATACCTACCTTAGAGGGTTGCTGCAATGATTAGGAATCACTCTGTAAAGAGCCTAGCGTGGTTTCTGGCATCTAGTAGCTGTGATTCAATGAATGGTAGCTCTATGGTATTATTACCACTCCCTGCCCACCTGCCAAAACCTAAACACAGCTGTTTCCTCACATTTGTCAACGGTTCTCTAATTCTACTCAGTCATTCTGTGAACCTAGTAATTCTCTGAAGAATTAGTTCTTCCCTCCTCTCTTTCCCTAGAGCTTTATGATCCCTGAAAAGTAATGAAGACCTCGTTTAGCCTCTCTACTGTGATTCCAGGAAGATGTTGAATTTCTTAGTCTTTCTTTTTGTGTCTAAGTTGGTCTTTCTGTTTATTGGATTCCCCCTTTTCCGATTTCCCTGAAGACCCATGAGATGCTCACTGCTTCCTGAGATCTAAAGTGATGCTATGTTCCCTTGTATGCATGGCCTTCCTTTCTACATCTTGAACACCTTTCCCTTGTAACAATGAAAAAGTTTCAATAAAAAAAAAAAAAAACTGTGGGCAAATCAACTGGTGTGTGGAAGCAGCTTCCTTCATCATTTCTCATTTTCAGTCACTCTCTTGTTTCTTATTTACGTATTCCCCAAACACCCCAAAGGGCTGTTCTTTGAAACTTGTTGGAAAAACAAAAGGAACTAGTGTGTTATTATTTCTCTAAAGTGAGAAACAAATGTGGGGTTACTCGTTGGGAACCTGAGAACTATAGATGGAAACTATAGAGAAAAGCTGCAGTGTAGGAACAAGAACTTTTTGTTCCTTATCTTGCTTTCTTGTTCAAGAGTATTTATTTATTTGCGAGAGAGAGCAGAGAGAACATGGTGGGGGAGGGGCAAAGGGAGAGGGAGAAGCAGGCTCCTCGCTGAGCCAGGAGCCTGATGCAGGGCTTGATCCCGGGACCTGGAGATCATGACATGAGCCGAAGGCAGACGCTTAACAGAATGAGCCACCCCGGTGCCCCAAAACTTGGGATACTTAGAGTTGGAAAAACTGCCCTTCTATGACACCATCCTTGGATCACTGTTATTTCTCTTGGCCACAGAAAACAATGCCTGCTTCACCAAGCCAAAGACTTGAACCAATGAGGTAATCCACAGCGTAATTATTAACCAGACTCTTTAAGCAGGGAGGCGGATCCAATAGAGAACAAAACGTATTTGTATCCTGGCTCTGTCACCTTACTAGCTTTGTTACTTTGGACATGTTGCTTTATTTGTTTGCTTGTTATAGAATGCGAATGGTATCTATTCCTTAGTGTCAAACGGTTAACTGTGGTAACAGATAAAGAGCCAAACGTTTGCTATCATTTTTGTTGACAACATGTCTGACTTCTGAGGCCTATCAAAGACTGGGGTGTCAAAGGTTTCATTCAGAAAGAATTCAAGCTGAACAATGGGGCTGCTGGAAGCGGGGCTAAGGACATTCTGCTCCAATTAACAATACTTATGGGATGTTGTGTAACCCTCAAGCCCCACCATAGACCTTTAACACTTGAGGCAGAATCTAGACCAACCCGTCCCCCACTCAGTGGATTCTGAACACATTCCTGCCTCAAATTTCCTGCCCATCAGCTTCGGGGTCCTTGAGGCATCAACTACATAGGCCCACATTATTTTAGGCAAATGCCGCCCACCGTCTCCACCACTGGGGAAAGGGCAGGGGGAGGACCCGTGAGCATGGCTCAGGACCCTTCCTTCCCCTCAGCTGGGGTCAGACTAGCTCCTGACGCCCCCGGGTCACCTTGACTACCCGGCCAAGGACCCCGTGGGAACTCTCAGCCCCCTCCATCTCCGCCTGTTCCATAGAGCGGGGCGCCGACGGAGGGGTGCCCAGAGAGAAGACCTGCCCGGCAAGAAACTAAGGGAAGAGATGAGGGACGTGGAGTAGACGAGGACAATAGAAAAAAGGTAACAGTGGGAGATGATGCTAGTTTCCTTTATGTCTTTTGTTACTTGGAGTAGCGGAGGAGTTAGAAGTGGCTTAAAAAATTTTTTTTTCACACAGGCATTTTTTAAAGGCAACCCCAGCGCGCACGGAACTATTGAATCTGGAAGGATCTTCTTCCGGTCTCTTGCGCCTGCGCGCTGGCAGGCGAGAGGGCGGGAGTCCTGGCTAAGAGGGAAGCCGAGAACCGGAAGTGAAGGCAGATTCCCTCCTTCGTCGCTGTTGCCGCCGCCATATGCGCTCGCCTTGCTCAGGTAAGCTTTGGCCTTGGTATCATCCGTCTCCATCTGCATTTCTTTGCGGTCATCCTGTCTCATGGACTCCTGATACCGCTTCCACAGGCTGTGGTCGGGTCCCTGGGGCCTAGTTGGGTCATTATTTCTATTGCTTGCGTTCCTTTTCAGAGCTCTTAAGAGTTTCGGGGGGGTAGAGGTAGGGATGCTAGGGGGCCCGATCCAAGATGGTGGCCTCAGCGCCATTGTGTTCCTTTTGCTCCCTGCTCCTTCGCTGCGCTTCTCGTTTATCGGAGGCCCTAGCGATGGTGAGAGGCGGCGCTAGGTGTCCTTTGGTCCTGGGCATTTGCGAAGGGCGGGGCTCTTTTCACCTTCCCTCTCCTCTCTGGGTCCTTTTCATGGCCCAAGGTGGGAATAGAAGGAGGGGCCGGCTTCTGGGCCCAGCTGGACTTTTCTCATCTGGACTTACCAACCTTTATTTGGGATATTTCCCAAATCTTTATGCATGGTGTCATTGTGATTATCGGAAGGGAGTCTCACGTGAGGAGTAACACAAGGGTGACGTGAGACCCTTTACTAAAGTTTCTGTTAAAGCTGTAGCGAGTGTATCAGTTACTTACTTTCTCATTGTATGGGGAAGGGATGAATACTTCTGACCGAGCCATTCCTCTTACACTCCCCCCCCCCATCAATTACACAGGGAATTCTTAAGCACCAGAAGGAGGTTACTGAGGAGTGGGAGGTGGATGGCAGCCACATGATGTTTTTATTTTGAGAAGTGAGCGCTTTGCGCAATGATGACCTTAATCTATCACCCTGGACTGATGGCTGCTTTTTTAGGGAGATTATAGGGAAAGTACAGAGTTCCTTTGAGGATTTTTCAGGATTCATCTTGTCATCTCCATTCTCCACTCCCTTGTCATATTTTGCTTTTCATTTTTTGTTTTCTTTATTGTTACTTAGACGTCAGGAATTCATATGCTCGTTCTCTCCTTCCTCCTTCCTGGTGTATGCTACTCTGATCCTAATCTTGTTGGGAATTTGTCGTAACCACTTCACCTGGGGCCACTGTGTTATGTTTGTTCTTGCTTTTATGTTTTGTGTTCCTATGTTTTTTTTTTTCCAGGTAAAGGTGTCACAGTTTAGGGAAAGTGGGAGGTGTATGGGGATGGAAAAGAGGTGGTGAAGGCTCTGCTCGTGACTAATAAGTCTTCCATCTGTTTTTTTCCTAGCTCTTCTATCACAAACTAGGGTGTGTGTGTTTTTTTTTTAAACTGTTGTTCAAGCCCCCACTCTCCTTCCTTGTTTTCACTTATTCTGCGTGAAACCATCCGGAGACCCCTCCCCTTCTCCCCCTGCCGGCCCAGTTATGGCAGAGAACGATGTGGACAATGAGCTCTTGGACTATGAAGAAGATGAGGTGGAGACAGCAGCTGGGGGAGATGGGGCTGAGGCCCCTGCCAAGAAGGATGTCAAGGGCTCCTATGTCTCCATCCACAGCTCTGGCTTTCGTGACTTCCTGCTAAAGCCAGAGTTGCTCCGGGCCATTGTTGACTGTGGCTTTGAGCATCCATCAGAAGGTAAATTTCTGCCCGGCATAGAGTATTCATAAAGCTCTCTAAGGATACAAGAAACAGGTGTGTTAAACAGTCTTTCAGGTCATACATACTTATTTGGGCTAGATCAGGAGATAAAGGGTCAAAAACTATTTTAGCAGTAGGAAAGATTTATATAGATGGGTTTTTCATACATGATAGCATGAGAAGCTAGTGACTTGAAAAGTGACTTAGAAGGGCGCCTGGGTGGCTCAGTTGGTTAAGTGACTGCCTTTGGCTCAGGTCATGATCCCAGGGTCCTGGGATTGAGCCCCACATCGGGCTCCCTGCTCAGCAGGGAACTTGGTTCTCCCTATCCCTCTGCCTGCTGCTCTGCCTACTTGTGCTCTCTCTCTCTGTGTCAAATAAATAAAATCTTTTAAAAAAAAAAGTGACTTAGAGATCTGCCATTTGTTCTTGTGATTGGTTTTTCTTTTTGTCTAGTTTTTAATTTTGTCATTTAGGTTTCTAATTTTGAATTTCCAGAGAGGAGCTAGTTGGACCTTTAGTCCCTCTCTGTTGGCCAACTCTGGTCTCTGGAAACCTTTATGGCTGATCTAAAGTGGGTGGCTTCTGGGTCAGCTACCAAGCCCTTCAGAGTTGCAGGGTTATGTGGCCTAAAGTGTGGCAAGCTAAGTTGGAGAAATGGCCTGAGGCAGGCACTCACATATCATGGATTGTTACAGATAAAGGAAAATAGGGACAGTCAGAAACATTAAAGATGAGCTGTTGGTAGGTGCAAGAGGGTTTTTAGCAGGATGGAGGAGGGGGCACTGGAGTCGGAGGCTAAAGTGAGAAGGAACTAGGAAGGTCTGTTTTGGGGATGAGTTTGGGGGAGAAGAGAGGTAGAAAGTCTGGGAGTTGATGATCATTTAAGAATTGAACGGTGAGAAATGGGTTTGGCATGGTGGAAAAAAGGTGGAGTTTATCTGGAGACTGAAGTCTAATTTATCTTTTTTCCCCCCTTCTAGTCCAGCATGAGTGCATCCCTCAGGCCATTCTGGGAATGGACGTCCTATGCCAGGCCAAGTCAGGCATGGGGAAGACAGCAGTGTTTGTGCTGGCCACGCTGCAACAGCTGGAGCCAGTTACTGGACAGGTACACTGGGGGAGAGTGCTGTGGAAGACATTTTGGTTAGAAATATTCGAGAAGGGTGTTTTGTCTTAGCCATGTGATGCGTTCAGAGCCATGAGTGTTTGTTACTAAGATGGCCTCTCACCTTTGATGGCTATGGGGGATATTACATAGTAATCATGGGGTTAATGGTTTAGATTTCAGAATTGAAGTCATTTATGATCTGCCAGATGTGCTTTTGTGATAGTTTGCTTCCCTAAAGGGCATAGTGAAGGGATAAACTGTTTGTTTCCATCTACTTCCCCCACCCCCCCAAGGTGTCTGTGCTGGTGATGTGTCACACTCGGGAGTTGGCTTTTCAGATCAGCAAGGAGTATGAGCGCTTCTCTAAATACATGCCCAATGTCAAGGTAAGCCAGGGTAAAGAGACCTGGGAGGGTGAGGGTGTGGGGTGTTGAAGGCATTAAAGACTTGGAGACCAGCAGTCTTCATGTCCACAGTTGTTAAATTACACGTAATAGCTAGTAAGTTTCTGCAAACTTTGGTGTGCAAGAGATTTGCGTTATAGGGATCACTTGAATACACATTGTAATTTATGAGATGTTTGCTTATATTTTGATTTTGGAGAAGCATTAGTTTACCTCGTGTTAATATAGGTGTGCAGCA